AGTGTAGAATATGATTCAAGGTTGGCCATCCCATACCGTCATACGCCTGCTCCATGTCGAGTTTCACAGCCATCAGCGCCTGTTTTTTTTTCTTGATACTTTAAGTTTATTTAAAATCTCCTGCACCAACAAACAATACTACGAAATTGATCTCCCTGGAATGAATGCAACCTGTTCTTCTGAAATCATCCTGGGCAAACATGTCTTCAATCTGTTAACCAACATAGTGGCCACAATTTTATAGGTGGTTTGACAAAGGCTGATGGGTCTAAAATTAAAAGGCCCAACCGGATTTTTAATTTTAGGATTTAAGACAATGAGCGTATATTTCCATTCCTTGTGCATTACGCCAGATTTAAGGAATTTCTTTATCACATTCCAAGTGGTCTCACATACTAAATTCTAGTAGCATTTGAAAAAGGAAGATGTCACACCATCAAGTCCCGGAGACTTATTGTTACCTTGCTGAAAAACAGAGATTCTGCACTCCTCCATAGTAAAATCTATACCCAAGGCAGCAACATTCAAAGCACTCATCTTCTATTTTTCTGAAGGATAAGGCCACCCAGTCAAGTAACAAATTTTATACTTCCATTTCTTCTCAATGAACTACAGAAAGACTTGTTCAATTTGATCATCTTCCTCCACCAGAGTATTGTTGGCATCCTTAACTTGCCTTATCCACTTTGAATTCCTAAGGGCTGAAGCAAAATTGTGGAAAAACTTTGAATTAGTGTCCCCCTCCTCTTGCCACCTAGCTTTTGCTCTTTGGTTCCACCAAATGGAAAGTCTTCTAAGAGTGACATTAAGCTCACAAACCTTCCTTCTAAGATTAAGCAAATCGTCACCAGAAAAACTTGAACTCGAAGCCTCTTTGATTTGCAATTCCAGGATCTCTCTTTTAAGCTCATCTTTCATTTTACAAAGATCTCTGCATTTATTTTTACTCCAGAAAAATAGTGCTCTCAACGTCCTCCTAAGCTTTCTGTGTAGCACCTCCACCTCTTCACCAAAATCAGCCTTCTTCCATGAACTAGAGACTATACTCCAGGCAGTCGGATACGACCTCCAAGTATCTTCAAATCTAATAACCTTGCTCCTATTAATCTTCTTAGTATCCAAACTATACACAATCGGGCTGTGATTAGAAGCCACACGAGCAAGATACTTAACCTTCCCATACGGTAGCAAGTGTAAAGCCGAGGAGTTGAGCAAGCACCTATCAAGTCTTTCCCAAATCCTAGAGGACCCCTCCTTATTGTTACACCATGTATAACTTGGTCCAACAAAGCCTGCAACATGAAAATCAGAATTAGTCATAAATTCTTTCATCTCTCTAGGTCCTTTAGAGAATAAGAATCTCTTGCCACCCTTCTTCTCTTCCTTGTTTAAAATACAGTTAAAGTCCCCTCCCACAATAGAAGGACCCGAATCCTTCATACAAACCTCAAGCAAGTTCCACAAACTCCTTCTTTCATTATGACATCTTCTACCATACACCGTTGCCACCTTCCAAACACCAAAAGAAGGTGTAGAAAGAGAACCAACCACCAATTGAGAGGAGCTCTTCTCAACATCAAAAGAGACCAACTTCATGTTCCACAAGACCAAAATCCCCCCAGAAGTACCCACGGCTAGGAAATGGAAATAATCCCACTCCTTCCCAATAAGGAAATCAACATCCTTTCTTTCAATACTAGATAGTTTGGTTTCCATCAAACCAACAAAACAAACATCATGATCCTTAAAAATCTCCTTGAGATACAAGGAAGCCTCCTTTTTTCTCGCCCCCCTGCAATTCCAGAAAAGTAATGAATTCATTAACTAACCATTGGGGAGCCCTCCCCTCCTGGCACACTTCCTTTTCCTTCCTTTCTCTTTTTCCTGTGATCTGGTTCTAGAGGCCCCAGTGATTTCAATTCATTAGACAGTTTAAACTTGACCAAATTGCTATTCTATGAAACTACATATTCAACACGCTCAGGTAAATCAGCAGCAACAGATATCTCCTTCTGCTTGACCACACTAGTATGATTCATCACTTCCCCTTCTTCAGTCTCCTCAAGCAGGGCATCAAATTTGTTAGCAACTGACACCCCCATAGCAATCTCCTCTTTACGAACATCATTATCTGTTTCCAAACCAGATAATTAAAACTGTTTCAGTCCCGGCTCCACCTCATCCTTCTTATGTTGAATCTGAGTTTGCACTGTATCAGAATGATGAACCTGAGCCTGTATATTAACATCAGTTGTATTTCTCTCAGGTCTACCAACTCCCGCCATCTTCCAATTTTTGAATCTCCTGTTCTTAAACTGCACATGGATCCACGGTCCATATTCACTTTCATCTTCTTTTGAACCAACCACCCCTCCCAAAACTTTCTAAACAACAGGCTTCCTTGCCGGCTGATCACAAGGAACCTTCTTCACACATTCAGGGCAATCCTTTCTATCATGACCAACAATGCCACACTGATAACAAATCAAATCAATCTTCTCATATTCTATTTTTTGGAAGAACCGACCAGCAATTCCATCAACCCACACACCATTTGGGAGTCTATTTTGCATATTAAGTCTCACACACACCCGAACAAATTCACGTTTCCCCCATTTAAAAGAATTACCATCCAAATACATCGGAGCACCTATTATGGAAGCAATCCTAATGATGTTCTCCTCATCCCAACAATACAGGGCTAAATAGGGGAAACGAATCCAAACCGGTGCAGTAATTCCCCTGAAGGAATTTGAGTTGAAAAGAGGAGACCACTTATCCATCCCAATAATGTGGCCTCCCACAAACCAAGGACCACCATTTAGCACTTCCTCCATCGTTTCCATAGACTTAAATGAACATAAAATCCAGTTCATACCAATGGACGTCATATGAAAACTACCAAATTTTCTCCACTGCTTCCTCAATTCCAGGTTACACAAAGGAAAAGAAATTGTCTCCTAAAACCTTAACTACCAGAGAGTGTCTAAGAATTTCCAAATTTAAAACCTCCTTCTCAGCATTAAGCTTGGCCGCCAACCCATCCTCAGTCAATTCCGTTATCACCTTATCTACCGAAATCTTGATGTGTTGGGTTTTTTTTTTCAGGCTTCAGTAAAATTCTCCTTCGAATCAATTACAGAAGAATCCAGCTGAATAAAGGGCTCCAGGTTCTTATCCAAAACTGACTTCTTTAGCGGAATATTATCAACCACTTTCAAAGCAGAGGCCTCGATCTCAGAATTTAACACATGGCCGCCTACATCTTATTGATTCAATACAAATTTACTAACCTTCAAGATCGCACCAGCAGATGAAGATACCTCCGGAATATTATCTAAAATGATCTTCTCAATTGCAGGATCATGATCAACACCAGCTTCTGGATCAGCCAAAACCCTATTTCCTTTGCCTTCAACCACTTCTTGGTGAACCAGAGTCTTCGCACCTTCTCTGATTACAATGCCACTGTAACCCTTGCCAATACCCCGATTGGTGCCTGAGGATCGAACGTTTGCCATGAATAGGACTTGTACACATGGGAGTGCGGATGAATGAAAAAAAGGAAGCCTGCTTCGTCCTCTTTTTAACAACGCGTGTCAGAGCATGATCGAGGCTGCCATTGCAGGATTTGAGCAGGATATCTGATAGAGAGATGAGACACGAGATGGGATAGGTCGGGGCCTATCTGAGTAGGATAAGGGCGGTCGACTCTACAGGCTTTGAGTAGAATTTCGGTAGAGGTATGATTATTTTTTCTATTTTAATTTAAATCATTATTTGGTGATGACGATGATGATAATAATAAAAATAAATAACAAAGATTTAAATGGAAATTTCGCCTAAATTTATGGGTCTTTATCTCGATTCACGTGTTGTCACCTCGAAATCCACTCATTGTCTCAGGATGCGCATTGATTTCCTCACACAATTTTGGTAGAGCGAAATTATAGTCAATTTTGGGTATTGCTAATGTTCAGAATGCAATGGGAGAGTTTAGTTTGCGATCGGACGTCATTTGATTGATTTAAGGTGTCAGTCGCCGATTTTGACCGCTTTCACTCAATTTGATCGCAAGGGGCTCCCACTTAGGCAATTTTGATGCTCTGATCACAACGGCGTAGTCCGTTTGACGATCATAAGCTGTTTGACCATTCAAGTGATGCATCGCGCTTGCCGACCATCACTTAGGTCACCGATTTTTTGCTCTTTTCACATGCCTTTAGTGTATGGGTCAACATGTGTGGAGAAGTCAAGTGGTCTTCGGAGTTATTAATGCGAATTCTAAGAGGTTTGCATTACTGCCCAAAGGAATTCTGAGAAGATCTATATGCTTCCGAGACATACATTGAAGTTGACAAAAATTAATGATGCCAATAAAAAAACTTAGGAAAATATATATATAAAAAAAAAAGAGTTGGCTCGAGCAATGTTTAAAATTGCGTATTCGGGTATTGAGGCGTTTTTCATTCGTGGGGCGAGGCGTAAGTCTCAAAATCAAAAGATTGCGTAAACAGAAAATGATAAATTTTTTATATACTAATGAGTAAATAATATAAAACTTAAAAAAGCATAAGATATTAAGTGAAATCAAAATATCCCAATAATAAGACAACATGAAATATAGTTCAACTCAAAATTCTATCTTTCTCAAATCCCAGTATTCTTTTCATTAACATATAATTTAAATTTCCAAAAATAAATAGCAATGACATATCACATAAGAACTCATAAGTCATCAGCGCTATCATTACTAAGGGTTCTTCATTTGAATCATCATTATGATGAACTGCTCTCTCCCCTTCCTCCTCTCCTATAGAGTCCAATATCGGGCATTTACTACAAGATTTATGTAAGTTTTAATATATATAGCATGAGGCGTAAGCCTCATGCCAGTGAGGCGAGGCGGGCCTCAAGGCGGGTTTCAACCAAGTTGAGGCGCAAGCCTCATAAAAAAAACTTGAGGCGTAAGAGCACATAATACTTCAGCAAAATGTGATTTAACTAAATACGAGGTTGTGACAAGTTTTGTCACAAGGATAGGGACAGTCTATTTCCTGCACCGTTTTTCTTTCAAAGTACCAGTCACCAATAGATTGTGCAATTCCCTGCATATTAATAGCGAAATCAATAAGCTATAAGGCTACAACATATAACTATATATTATTAAAAGAACTAAACAATACTATTTATACAACTTCTGGCAAAATAAAAGATAAAATCATACATACAGTATGAATCAAGTAATTAATTAAAGTAAAAAAATCACAGTTCATATGATGCTTTTGTCATCGACATTATTTTAAAAATAATAATTCCAAATTAACCAAATAATAATTTTCGAAGTCATTTTTTCTAGCTTTTTTATTTTTTATACTTAAACAATTACTATTAATTATATTTCAAAAATATTTTTCAATATAATATAAATTGTTATAGTATTTAGATCATGTTACTATGATTTATATGTTATACAATGAGTTACATATCATTACTTAATATAATAAATTAGGCATGCTATATTATTTTAAAATGTTTACTATGTATTTTAAAATGTTTACTATGTATTATGTGGATAATTAATTAGGGGGGAGAGAGATTTTCAAATCATGGTTGACTTAGATTTTGTTTAGGAAAGCTCACTTACTGTTTTATAAAGCAGCTTTTTTAACATAAAAAATTTTTCAATAAAATTTGTACTAGAAAGTTAATTTAATATATATTCTATACTGAAATTTCATTTTTTTTAATTTTATTCTATACTGAAATTTTTTAAATAATCCAATTTAGGCTTGGTCGATGATTGTTTTAAATTTAGCTTGTTAATTGGTCAAGCACAACATAGAAAACATTTATTCAGATAAGCCTAATGGTTCATGATCTGATTGAAACCCTAATAATATTTACAAATTGAATATTATAATGTTTGTTTCACGATCATATTATATTATTTAGGTTTCATTTGGGATAACTTTCTTATTTCTTTTTAAAATAACTTTCTAGTATAAAAATTTATAGTTCGAAAAATTTTATACTAAAAAATTATTTTAGAAAATAAAAAAAAAACTATCTTAAATAAAACCTTAAAGATGTAAGTTATTTTCTTCACCAACATCTTTAAATAGATTTCAAAGATCAAATCATGTTCTGCTTTTACTATCATTAGATTTCGGTTAAATTGGTCAAAATTTAATATCATATATATGCATAAAAGAATTAAGGTACCTCATTGGCAATGGCAGGGGAATCAGTTCCAAACCAAGTATCCTGCCTCTCAGTTTGGCAATGTGCAAAGCATGAATTAATAAACCATCCATTCTGCTGTGATAAGGTGAACCCTTCAATGGAATTAATCATCTCATCACGAAAATCTGTAAAAGAAATTTATAGTCACTATTTTTTATTTTTGCAGCCTGCTTCAAATCTAGCAACAATCACGATAACCATATAGTGGGGGGACACATGCCACACTCCGAAATTTAGAAAACGTTGCATCGGGCGCTTCCCATGAGCGGTTTTCAAAAAAAAAAAATGAAATTTTCAAGCATATCTTCATAGAGTATATTGATTTTTCATAATGCATATAAATAGTAAAGTGATTAATTGAATCTAAATATAAAAATCAGTTCAAGCAAGATTAAAATTGGATCCTCTCTTTAAAAATTTATGGCTTCGCCATTGCATATAGAGAATTTTAAACATGATATTTATAATACAACAACAACAACATCAAACATTTATCCCACTACCTGAGGTTGGCTATATGAAGCCTTTTGTTTCATTGCGTTCTGTTAAGAATCAAATTTTCATTAGAATTTAATAAAAAAAAAATGTCATTTCTAATATTTCTGACCAAGTATTTTTAGCTCTATCTCTATCTTTCTTATCATAAGCCAAATCTAATACATTACTCTCCTAACCTGAATGCCACGTTTTATGATAATAATGGCAAATAATTAACAAAAAGAATAGCTAAAACATACCTTGCAAGAATTGAATTTGACTTGCATTGCAATTAGCATGATTTGATTTGCATGATTTCCAATAACCTTTGGGGTCAGCTGTAACTGGGGCCAAACTTTCATGGATCTGAACATTCAAAGAAGACAATCTTGAAATAAATTAGAAACTCTAAAATAATTAATTTGCAATCCTCATGAAATAAGTTAGAAAATTTGAAGTGAAGTACCTGCCATACATCATATGCGGCATTTAACAGAAAGAGTGGAGTCTTAATATTGGCCACCAGGTTCTCTGGAAAAAAGCACTGCAAGAGAAAAAATATATATGGTTAAAAAAAAAATTAAAAAAAAAAGTTTGGGAAATAAATTTTATCATTTTAATATTTCTTGGAAATAAACAAACCGAAGTTGCATCCATTCTCGATGCGCAATACTCTGGCAAGTTCTTTGAAACCCCCTGCAATGTGAATGGTTGATGAGAAGTATACAAGTGATGTAATTCTTAGGGAAAAAGTTTCTAATCAAATAAAATTTGTATTACAGCATCTTTCAAAACAAATATAATAACTTTGAGATCAATCATAATCAAAATTGTAGTTGTTTTCATAATTCCTATTGCTTGTGCAGGTAGCTTTTAAAGAAATAAACATCATAATAATTTTCTTTGAGTTTTCTATTATTCCTTATATTAATCAAAACAATGATTAAAATCATTGTCTGATTTCAATAACTAATGAAGATTTTGGTTTCGTTTGGGACAACTTTCTTACTGCTTCTTATTAATTTTTTTCTTGTGGTTTTCTTTTGCCAGCATGGTGGTTTGCCGGCAGACCGATCCTGGTTTTTTGGCGGGATCGGCAAAGTCCTGTTCGTTCATGGAAGCTTTATATGGGACTTCTATTCCTGGTAGATTTCCCGACCTTAAACGGTTTTGGTTTCGTGGTGTTCCTTCTTTGTTGGTTTTGGAGGAGTTTTATGCCCTGGCTGAACCTTTTAAATTTTCTTTAGTTGGCTTCTTCCCATCTCGTCAACCTAGTCTCCCTTTGATAAAAAATTTTTTTTTGAACCTTAAGTTGAATGGCATTTTTTCTGTTACTTTGTTGGATCAATCTCATGTGCTCATTAAGTTGGAGAACGATCTCGACTATAGTAGGGTTTTTTGCCATAGGTCTTATCTAGTTTTTTATTGTTTCATGAAGGTGACCAAATGATCACCTTCTGATGACATTGGTGATGAGTCTCCCATTGTTCCGATATGGATTTCATGCCCTAGCTTGCGACCTCATTTTTTTCCCCTCGTATCTTGCATGGTTTGGGGCTTCTTTTTGGTAATCCTCTTAAAGTGGATAACACCACTGCGTTGGGGTCTCAACCGGGTGTGTGGTCCGTGTGCTTATATAAATCGATATTACACAGAAGTTTTCGGATAAAATTTGACTAGGTCCTGAAAAATTAGGGTATTTCAACCAGTTGTTATGGAGGATTTTCCTCATTGTGCCAAAAGTAAACGACTAGGCCATTCTTTTGGTGCTTGCCGTCCTTCACTTGATATTGATCTGGTTGTTGCTTCTTCTTATCCTAAACCCATTTTACGGGTTATTGAGGATAATGAGCTTCCGATGGGTGTTGGGGTTGTGGTTGATAGTGTTCCTGCCCATCCTAATCCCAATGTGGCTGGCCTATCTCTTGTTGATTTGCCGCCTTTGAATCCAGTTGATTGTTAGTCGTGTGGCTGTATCTCCTGCTTCTCTGCCTGTTAATTCTATTGGTGGTGAAGTTGTTGGTGCTGATGGAATTTGTTTAAATCCTAATCCTATTCTTAGTTTGGTTGATATGGTTTTAGTTTCCAATCTGTCTAGCCCCATTGTCTTCCCAGCAGCTCCTTTTTCTGATGATGCGGCTTGCTTTAGTGCCTCTCCGTTCGCTAATGGTGGATTGGCGATTTATGGTGCCGTTGATGGTGATATTTCTCCTGCTGTGACTCCTGCTCATGTGGCCTTGAATGATATTAATTGTTGTATTAATCTTAGGGCTACTCCTACTTGTGTTGATGTTGCAGAATTATCAGATGATAATTCTATCTCTTTAGTTGATGGGGGTGGTGAATCCTTGGCTGAGTTTGGGGAGGCCGGAGTCGTGCTGCCTCTGATGGATGTGTTTATTTCTGTTATCTCGAATGCTAATATGTTAGCCCAACTTGCTAGAGATAGTGTTCTGAGGCAATGTGATTGGTTACATGATGACATGTCATTTGTAGGAGGGGAGGATATTATTAAAAGCGACTGGGAAGCTGGCTCGCTCGATAATTATGTCAAGCATCGCAAAAGAAAGTTTAAAAAGAAATGATTTTCCTTTTTGGAAGTTTTGTGGTTGTGGTGTTTGGATTTTTTTTTCGGTTTTGGTTGCTTTGTTGAGTTGGAATCGAATAGGACTATGATGAAGCAGTTTTACTGCATGCGTCTTGGATGGCCAGGGTTTGGTTGGCAACCTTGGTGGCTCATTTTAATGGTTTGGTTGCTTTCGGCTTGGATTCCTGGAAGTTTTGTTTTTTCCTCCTTGGATGGCCCTTCCCTGACAACCAGGTGCGGTTTGAGTCCTATTATTCTGATTTGGTCATTCTTTTTCTCAGATTACTTTTGACCTATCGCTTTTTGTGTTTCTTTGATTGTAATTCTCCATATGTGGCCCTGCTGTGGTCTTGTATTGTATCCATTACTATTAATATATTTTGTTTTGGTTTAAAAAAAAAATACCTGTAAGGTTACTACACCGTTGTAGAAGTTCCTTAGAGTGCGACCTCCAGCTACATCAACACTAAGAACCATACAAACAATAAGTAAATTGAAACAAAGAAACTAGAAACTGTAAGGAAGTTTTTCTATAATTTTTTTCTTTAATTAATCCCACAAGTGTTTCATACAAAGCTATTTCGCTAAAAAAAAAAGGGTATGTTGAAAAAAATATATAGAGAAGTAAGCAATCAGAATATAATGAAAAGTTATCTCTCACGCATCAAGGAACATGCCAGCATCAGCAAGGCATTTAACTTTGGTATTTCCTTGGAATAAATTATGAAATTCATCACAATGCAGTATGGATGCCAATCCGCCAGCAGAACAGCCAGAAAGAAGCGCCTGGTAATGAGATATGAGTCTGAATTAAAAAAAATTCAGAGAAAAAGTAATGGGAAAAAGAGTAACCTGTGTTGCATCCTTCATTCCATTGAACATCAAATCTTCCATGGCAGCTACCCAAATGCGTTGGCCTCGAAATTGAAGAGATGCAGCCTACATACGCACGTTGGACTAAGAGTTTATTTTTGGAGATTGGAATTGTCAAAAATGGATTAGTTTCTCGGTTTGAATTGAAATTGAAGCTTCGTTTGTGATAATTTTCTTACTGTTTTCTAAAACAGCTTTCTAATACAAAAACTTTTAGTTCAAAAAATTTTTGTACTAAAAAACTGTTTAAGAAAGTAATAAGAAACCTGTCATAAACGAAGCCTGAATTATAGTTAAAGAATCATCATTGTCTTGAATTGAGACAGATTAAACTGGCCCATGCAAAACTTGGTTAGGTGCAAGATAAGATTGAACAATAGCGAACTGATATTGATTTGGGGTAGGATCAGCTTGAACTTTAATTGTTAAAATCCATATTTCAATCCTTAAGCAACCAGAATAATTTTAAATAAAGTATATGAGATTATAAAGGAAAGAGTAATTACTTTTAGGAGAGCTAAAAACATCAAAACTTAGATAAATTATCCTAAAAATCATGCAGTGAACACAAGCATGCCCTTCTGGCACCAAACCTAGATCCATTAAGAGAAAAAGGAAAGAATTGGAAGGGAGCTGTTATCAATTATTATGTTGCATTAAAAAGATTCTAAAAAAAGATTAAGAAAACCAAAAGATATATAATGGAAACTTAAGTGTGAGATATTGAATCATAAAAAATACACAAATCAAAAGCGGATTAACAAATTTATCAGTTAAGAAAATCGTTTAAATTTTTTTTTTTTTTGGCATTTAGGTAAATTAAGGCAAACTTATAGACATATTACATATGTAAGACTCGAATCCAAGATCTTTTAGTTGGTAGCCAAAATTCTCAACTACTAGATCAAAATGACCTGTGTTTAAGAATTCAATAGAAATGAATAAATGACAGAAGCAACAAATACCGATTACCAAATCGTACATAATGAAGTAAATATGCTTATATTTCATCTTATGTAGCTTTAAATAACAATGGATCACATGGACCATCAGCTAAAGTAAAAAAAGCACATTTTCTGCCACAAAACTTCACGGGAAAATGCAAACAATTTAATGCTTTTTAGCATATAAAATCTGGTATCAATAAAGCTTAGAAATTCATAAAATAACACTGACTTGGGTTAAGTTTTAGGTTTGGTTTGAGACAGTTTTCTTATTTTTTCTTAAAGCAATTTCTTAATACAAAAATTTTTTTAACTAAAAATTTTTGTTTGATAAAATTGTTTTAGAATGCAGTAAGAAAGTAATCCCAACGAAAGCTTATTTTTCAATAAAAATGTTTTCGGACAACCTCATTGGAGCCTTCACCACTGAAGGATGCACCATCACAGTAACGGAGCTTAACTCTGTTCCAGTTGTAGAAATCTGCAAGTATCATAAAGTATACAAGGATGAGTATTACAAGTGGCATATTCGATTTTACATTTAATTATACCACTGGTGCACCAAATAAGAAGGAACATTGCTTATTCAGATCAGTTTCAAAAAAGAACCAGGATTTTCTTCAGGTTTGTTGCTCAATATCCCAGTAAATTGCAAAACTTTCTCCATGTAGGTTGAGGAACCTCGGCGAGATTTTTTGCGGTACACACATGAATTTATATCATTGCACCAACCTCCACCCTGAGTTGTTGGTAAAAAAATCAAAATATTCAAACAAAATGTGACTTATATGAATTTAGAAGGCTGTTAAGTTATTTGTATGCCCAATGAAGAAAATATGCTATGCATACTTAAATGTGCTCAATGTTTATGTGCTATTTTATTAAGAGCATTTTGGATTTTTTTTTTTTTTACTTTTGGCTATCCTAGTTTTTTTTTGTAATTATCATTAAGGCTTTGTTTTGGAATGACTTTTTTACTTCTTCTTAAAGAAGTTTTTAAGTACAAAAAAATTTAAGTTCTTGTGCTAAGAAGCTGCTTTAAGAAGCAACAAAAAAGCCGTCACAAATGAAGCCTAAGAGTGGGGTGTTGTCATTATATTATGTTAGAGGAATTAAGGTTGTTATTCTTCATAATTAAATCATAGTGAAATATAAAATGATGATAACATGATATTGCCATTAGTTAGGTAAATCTGTAAGAAATTCTTTGTGTTTTTATGTCTTGATCTTCCTTTTCGTTTTCCTTCTTTTTCGTTCTTGATGTTTGAAATAGATTTTGCATTTTTCTAGCAAAAAAGAAAAAGAGTAAAATATCGAATTTGACCAATTTGGATTGCCCCAAATAATGATCACTAAAATGTAAGCTTTTGTTTGAGATAACTTTCTTACTGCTTCTTAAAACAGTTTTTAGTACAAAAATTAAAATTTTTGTACTAAAAAACTGTTTTAATAAACACTAAGAAAGCCATCCTAAATAAATTCTTAGTTTCAAGTCGAGTCTTCTTAATTTCTAGTCTGGTTACCTCCAATTGGACAAGCCAGCTATTTGTTCCTGATCCAAAGCCGCGATGAAGATGGTAACCGGGTAAGGTTCCATCCAAACATACTGTAAATGCAGAAACAAATAAATCAAAATATTTTAATATTTATTTTCCACAAAAAATACAGTTTTCTCAAATAAGTAAAAATACAAGAGGAACAGACAATGAACATTATTACTAGAAAACAAAAATTATGCGAAAAATAAGATCAATTTGAAAATATAACTAAGTTGAGAAATACAAGATTGAGAAGACGAGATTATATCTGCTGTCCTGAAAGCATATATCATGTCTTTTGTGTGGCATTCGTTGCCTCTTCTGCTTCTAAGGTCACTTCTGAGGCTCGTTACTCTCTTCCACCATAGAACCATCAGATTGAAGTTTGTAGAAACCCACACTTTGAAATAAAAACAAAAGAAAACATAGGAAGAAAGGCGTTTGTGTCTGCTATGCAATAGAAGAAGCTGTAGTGAGTGATAGCTTTTTATTGTAAGAGTATATTATTCACATACATCAAGCTATTTAATATATAATTTTTGAAATCTTCATATTTTCATCTTCTATAGTATGTGCGGTTGATATAAGAGAAGGATTTTTAGCTTTGATCCCATCATTTGCTTATTTACAGCAAAATATCCTTCTTTCAATTTTAAATCTTCCCACCCTCTTTTGAGAGGAATGAACTGTTTGACATGACAAGCACTAAATCTTATAAATTTGTTTAGTTTGTTTGTCTATTTGTTTCCAAATTTAAATTCTATGAGACAGAATTTCTTAAATCGTTTAAATCCTGTGAATTCTGAGGTTTAAGAATTCTTGATTTTACCAATAACTGGCCAGGATTTAAGGTAAATATTGCCCAAAAATGGATACACAACGACCCCTCAATCTTCGCTAAATCTTACAATCAAACAATTCCCAAGAGTTTAAAGCTGACAGTATATGAAAAAATTATTAGATAAACATCTGGATTAGCAAGTAGAAATGTCAAGAAAAGAATAGCCAAGGATCTAACGAATAAAAAAAAAAAAAAAACTTTCTTTCTAAAGCAAATGAATGAATTCAGAAGAAAAGTCTCAAATTCTTAATGAACCAGCAAAGCAAGAGACATTAAAGGGCAATGATAATGTGAAAGAAATGAATCATACCAGCTCCTGTAGCTTCTGCCGTCTGAATGAGTGTAAGACCCACTTGCAAAGGGCTGTCTGAAGACTCAAAATTCTCATCAGAACAGCAAATAGAATTCGCAAAAACCAACATAATAATCCCAGAAACCCAAATGCTCCTCATGGCGCTCTTTCTCTCTCTGACTCCCCCCTAATCTCCCAGACTTCCACCAGCTCTTCGAGCTCGTGAAAAGGCGCTGGATGTCCTCCAGGAAAACGCAATGCTTTTTAAGAAACCAGCAAATCAACATTAATGGACATTTGCTAAATCTCCAAAAAATACGAATTTTATACCCTTAATTGAATAGTTAAGAAAAATTAACCAGATAAGCAGCAAAGTTCTTTGCTTTGATTCTGCAGGAGATATTTTAATTTATTTTTATTTGGATTTCCAAAAAAGCTTTAACCTGTGCTGGCACCCTTTCCTTGGCTTATGAAATTGGAATCCAGAAACGGAATGATTGCAATTACAGCATTTACATAACAAAAACTTTCCGTTTTAATAGGACATTGTTGAATAACTCTATGGGGCTGTTTGGTATCGTGGAATTTAAGCACAGTTTAATTGAATTCTCGTCTAGTTCAAATTTAGAGAATTTAAGGCTCTGTTAGGGAATGTTTTCTTACTATTTTTTTTTTAAAAAAAATGCAAACAGCATAAATTAAAAAAGCCTAATATAAACTACAAAGTGATAGACAAGCTATCACATTCCTCCTTTAACAAATAAACAAAAGTGGAAACAATGTAACCATGAATAAATGCAGATTACAATGAAAGATGCTCCCCGATTCTAGTGAGAGAGGCTCCCGGATTCTAGTGAGAGAAAACTGTGTTTTTTCAAATTTCTTCAGATCCTATTTTCTTGGTTCCGCCTAAATAGTGGTGGAGGGTCTCCGGTCATCATTCCCTTATGACCGGAATACCTCAAAACTCCATTCTGCTAGGTTTCCCTATGATTTTATTCATGGTGGATCCAAAGGTAGAAATTCTAGAAACTAGGAATTTGTGATCAAGCAAAGGCCTTTGGTCATCACTGAAGGTCGGTTTCTTCCGAACCACAATGTGGTTTCGGTGTTGGGCAAAGGAAAAGAACCATTGGAAAGTTTGGGAAAGAAGAAGATGTCGGCGTTTCTTTCCTCCCCATCGAAGAACTTGTTGGCTGGAGCGGCGAATGATTTGGAGGCTTCATCATCCATCGGGTGTAAGCTGAAGGTAAATAGATTTTCAAACTTATCCTATGTTGATACGAAAAAATAGAAGTTTTTGAATTCGAATTTGATAATGTCTAAGAATGATGAAGGTTTGATTTCTAGAGGTGAAAATCAGATAGTGAGTGATAAAGAAGTTTTCCGAATACAGGAAACATAGGTTCGATAAATGTATGGTTTAAGAACCAGCATATCAAAGCGAATTCAATTAATCCAGATCTAGAGAAAATGTTGATTCGAACGTAGTAAAACTTGATATGAATAAGGTTTCTAAAAATGGCAAATTGTTTCAAAATCTCTTATGGTGAAGGTGTTTGGGAGAGGAATTCCTTTCTCTCTTTGTAGCATTGAGTTATGGTGTCAATGGGATAAATTTGAGAGGTTTCATATCACCTCATTGGGCCTTGATTGAATTTTGTGTTCATTTCATTCTTCTCAGATTATGGAAGAAGTGCTGCGTGGTGGTCCATGGTATGTGGGAAGACACATAATAGGAATGGATAAATGGACACCTCAATTTTCTCCAACATCGTTGAAAGGTCTATTCTCACCAATTTGGATTCGGTTGCCTCATTTGCCTTTACATTGTTGGGATGAGACTAATGTTACTAAGATTGTCTCAAAGATAGGAGTTCCTTTGTTATTGGATGGAAAAATGTTTAAATGGGGAAGATGTGAATTTGCGTGAGCATGTGTTCGAATTAATCTAGACTCTACATTATATGGGAAATTTTTATCAAAAAGGTGAATATGAAAAAATATCTTCTTTTTGTTTAAATTGTGGCAAGATAGGTCACAAAATTGAGACGTGTACAGAAGTTATTAAAGATGTTGGAAATAAAGTTCTAAATGAAGTTCAAGGAAACAAATTGATGAATTCAAATATTCATGGATCAAGTTTTTATATGAAATTGAAGGACAAATCGGATATTGCAAATTCACAAAATTGTTATGGTCCTTGGATACATGTGAAGTTTAATAGAAATAGAAGAATGAAGAGTATTCAAAAGAAAAAATTTGAGTCTCAAGCTATGGTGTAGAATCCTGAGAATAATTCTTCTTAAGTTTGCTTGGCACCTGCAGAATTACCATCAGGTAATAAATTTAAGTTGATGTCTCAAGTCTTTACCGAAGAATTGGTTAGATTGGATGCTGAAGAACCTGATATGCAAGCCAAATCTAACAGGATACATCCAGAATTTGTTGGTTCGATGATGGAAGAAAAAATTCCTTATTCTGGTTTGTCCAATGAATCATCTTTAGCTCTGAAACATTTAGAAGATGGAGAAATAGATCCAAATGCTGAGAATTTTGTTATGGAAAAAGAACTGGAAGCTTTTTCTACTTATCTAGAGTAGGTTGAGGGAGAAAATTGAAGCTGTAATTAATGAAAAAGTTCTCGATAAAAAGGTTGCTGAAAACAAAGTTCCAACTTTTGAATTTGAAGAACTTGCTCTGGTTCCTCATTTGGCTTGTGAGGAGTATGTGAAGGAGATTGAAGTAGAGGCTGATTTGGATATCAAAATAGTTGGGGAAGGCAATTCAAACATTCTAACAAGTGTTCGAGATCATGAAAGTGTAAATCAGATTTCGGCTACTCCTTTGTCTAAGGTTGATAATGTGAAGAATAAAGAAGCATTGATTGAAGATGGAAAATTCCATCTTCCATCCAAATCGGTGCATCATAAGAAAAAGTTGAATAAAGAAATGAATTTGTTTGGTCCTATTAAAGGGAGTCTTAGAGGAATGAAATTGGGTATTCTTGGTGATAGTGTTGGACCCACTTCATTCTTTTATTTCATGACATGGTTATAATTATTGAGGAAGGATTTCAAGGTCGGTTTGTGGATTGAGTGAAGGTGATGAAGTTTGTGCATAATTGAACTTATGGAGCTGTGAAGATTCAAGTTATTTTCTCGGCGGAAAACTATTGCTTTCATTTCATTTACTTTTCTTTATTTAATCATCTTGTTTTTTCTAGATTTAGTTAAAGCATATGTTGGGATTCGGAAAAAGGAACTAGATTAATGGAAACTAAGCATCACTCTACTTTTTATTTTTTACTTAATCGGGACTTCTGGAATACTAATCAACATTTTGGGTTGTTTAATCTTTGGTATCCCCTCCACCCCTATTGATTTAAAATGATTAGTAGAGGATCTTATTTTCATTATGACATTTCCTATTTTTTGAATTCCTTCATTATGCTTAAATTGCTTTTTAATAAGGCTTCCTTTTACTGTTTTGAAAGGATTGCCTTGTTTTTCTTTTTTTAGTTTGTAATAGCTTCCTTTTTTATTTTAATGTTATATGCATCTTAAAAAAAACAAAAAAAAAAAAGAAGGAGAAATCTTATTAAAGCAAATATTATAAAAAATGATCAAGTTAACACATAAATCAGCTAACTTATTACAACTCCTATTAGAGAAAAGAAATAAATTCAATCAAATCTTCAATCCCATACGGGGGGGGGGGGGGGGAGTTTTAACGGATTTAAGTTCTGGGGTACATTTTAGGAAGGTAGATTAAATTGTAAATAAGACCCTACCTAGAGATTTCACCCTCATTTTGAGAGGACTTTATGATATATGTTCTAGTTTCCTATAGGCACAAGCCCCTATAGTTAATTAACCCTCCCGATAACAAGAGAGAACTTTCAATTAAGGCTAGTCGTCAATTAGATATGTAAAGAATATGTGTTATTTGGCATATAGTAGCAGCATGGGTTAAGATATTTGAAAATTTGAAGGTCTTATATTTAAAAATAGAAATTTCACCATCTTGCACTTAAAGTGGATGGTAGGGGAATGGATGATGGACCCGATCAAGATCCCATGGTTCTGTCATCTCGGGCCATCATGGTCCATGGTCTACTTAGTTAGAGGTGGTTGTCGACCCAACCTGACAGAAGGATCCTTGTTGGCAACCATGGGTTGCTTCATCCAAGGGTATCTTATAGATATGGGGTGGATGTTTGTCTAAAGGTACAAACTTGAATCCACCTTAACTAACAGAGGGCTTTGTGTCCTATCGATTATATCATATTGATTCATATCTCAAGGATTTGCTGCCACTAAGAAATGTATTGGCTCTGGTCATAACCATAATTTAGTGGTGCAATTTGTCAGTGGAACTACTAGATTCAAAGGGACCTAGGTCATAACCGTTTATCCTGCATTAATGTCAATTGGCAAAAAAATTATCAGTCATATGACACGTACCACATCCTCACTGGCTCGACATTATTTGAGAATGGATCTTAGTGACATTTTCGACCAGACATTAGCTCTATGTGAGCTGAAGTGCATTTCAATTTGTCTATGCCGACAAACTGATGTGGAGGGTGGATGGGTTTTTCTTTAAGTGCTTGAATGGTTGGATTTCAGTTTTAAAAATTTTGGACTTTGGAAATTTTTTGGGATTTTTGGATTTTTGGAGCTTTGAATTTTATGGGTATTTTGGTGGAGCTTGGAAGGCATTTGAATACTTAGAATTAACCCTTTTGGTTGAGATCTACATTCAACATGGCCATCATCAGGGTGTTTGGGGTCATTTTCGATGACTAAATCTTGCCAACCCTATCAACTTGCTGATAAGGGATCGAGTTCATCAGCTATATGATTTTATTTAGTGAAATTCTCTTGTCATAGACCTTGAAGGTTTTATATGAATGCATAAAATAAATATTTTGGTTGGTACTACGATCATATATTTGTTTGATGGTTCGAGTCGTGTTGACTCCTATCTAACCTCATAGAAGGATCGGGCTTGAACTTGAGTTCATTTATTGGCTCAAAAAGCATCCCTAGATGTCATATGTGTATCCAAGAGACACTCGCTGGGGCCCATATGGGTGTTTGAGTGCCTTTTATAATTATTTGCTAAACCTTATCAACTCCTCTTTATCAGTTTAGGAGGATCAAGTTTAAATTAACCCGCGCAGCATCCCTAGATGTCACATATCTCCCTACAACACACTCGCTGGGGCCCATGCAGATTTTGTGATTGATTTACCCCTTTTGTGTACCTATATGTATACAAATTATAGT